AATTGCAGGTGTTCAACAGAGCAAGGCTGATCAGTATTTAGAACTAGTACATAGAGTAGGTATCGAATTGAGAGCACTGCTATCTTCGGTGGATGCTCTTGTAGAAATATTGCCAATATCCGCGCATCGCGAGGTAGAGATGGCACATAAAGTATTAAGTAAGGACATGGCGGAGCTCGTGGCCGCCATGAAGCTGGCACAAAACTACAGTACCACTACATTAGATGCTGAATATCGGAAGTAACTGTCTCTCTCTCTCTCTCTCTCTCTCTCTCTCTCTCTCTCTCTCTCTCTCTCTCTCTCTCTCTCTCTCTCTCCCCCCCCTCTCCCCCCCCTCTCTCTCTATATATATATATATATTTAATTTTTTACGACTTCACGACGATACGAATATACGGATGAGACAGCTTGAAAGATTAATCGAATGTCAATCTTTTCGCTTCAGGGGAATGCTTTCTGCAGCTCACATCTTAGCAATGGACGCTAAGAATCTCTTAGATGTGATTGATTCTATCCGTATTCGCTATCCGTACGTGGATAGTCAGATTTGTCAGAGACAGAGCGACGTTGTTAACATGACACGGGAGTCCACCCCTGAGAATCGCATTCGCTCGAGTCAGTCCGGTGAACAGTTTCTAAGGAGAAGCCAGTCGAGCGAGCGACAGGCGCCAACCTTTCGACAAAGCCAAAGTGGTGACCTGTTGCACAGAATGAGCCAGTCCGTGGATCGATCTTCGCCGGTAAGACGAATCGTAATTGTAACTTGTTGACAATTCATTGTTGTAACTTGTCAAATGTGCGACTGTATGTGTGTGTGAACGGTACAGTCCAACTATATGAACCTTCGTTATTTGTATAGGCAAGTCAGTCCGATGTCAATTCCGGCAGCAGCTTAGAGAGAAAGCATAACATGGTGACCAACAGCCTCGAGCGTAACTCCACTGCGAGGAGACAGATAGCTACCAATAGTTTAGAAAGAAAGAGACCGTCACTAACATGTAACGTCGGGCCTATGAATAATTCCGTTAATCTACCGTCGATGGTTCCGGTCACTTGCAATTTAGTGCAGACCGTGAGCCCCGTCATACATCCGAGCCAGTCGGTCACAACGGGTGTCAGTCAGCAGGTGTTTGCGGTCAACAGCAAAGCTACAAACGAGACTCCGATAAATGACAGCTAACAACGAGGTGCCTTGAATTGAGGTAAATTACAATACAATATTACGTCTTTCCTCGTGTGAGCGACACCGAAAGCAATTGTCACTACTGAATATACTGATTCCAGGACTACTTCGGATCATTCGCTTAGTATGTATATAAATAGACACGGCATCCTACCAAGTTACCCGTGTAGTTACACATCTACACGAATTACTTACTTCAACAACGGGAGATCTAGTGTTTGTGCTTCTTAGCTCTTTTTAACAATTTAATTAAATATGCAGGAAATTTGCATATATCAGCGTACTTATAGATAGGAGCAGTATTCATTAGTTGTAGCAGTAGGGAGGTTTATCACTAGAGAATTTAAGTCACAGCTACAATGAAATATCGCAACTCCAAAGCTTTAGAATTATCGTTACCACTTGTTACATGAGAACTACATGTACGAGGTGACGCAAAGATAAGTTTTGCCGTGCGCGCAAGTAGTAGGTGTTTACACGCGCGATTTACTCGATTATTAGCGTTATCAACGTTATCTAACGAGAAACGTGTCTCTCGCATTCATTTACTATTCGCATTAGTGCCGCAGTAGTGCAGTTGAATTCACATAGAGATTGAATGAAGATTTTTTAGTTTCATTTGTGTCATCTCGTAGTCGGTTGACGATATATATACATACATGCAAACGTATATTAGGGCGTGCGTATATGTGTATATGTTTATAAATATATATTTAAACGAACGAATTCTCTCTTCAATCAATATTACGCGAGAATATAATTTCTTGTAGACATAACGACTTATAATGTTGTTTTTAATACAAGTTCGTAATTTCATAGTCTATTTCCTACGTATAGGAGTATACTCTGCGGAGGGCGACTATAATGTTGTAAAAAGAGCGGGCGAATTGTATGTTATTTCTATTAGATAATTATTTAATGATTCGTACCTTTTTGCGACGTTTATACGAAATGTTTTATAAGAGGCAAGAAAAGAAAAAAAAAAAAACAAAAACCACCTTTCAGCGGCGAGTCAGTTCCTACGAGACGATATTTTTAAGAAGTTTCATCTTTACATAAAGGAGTATCATTAATGCATTCTTATCGATGCATTTGCAGCGATACATGTGAGCATACGTACGGCATATTTGTCGTATTAAATCATCGCATTCAGATATTCTAAAAGCGAAAGAAAAGATACACATTTTTCTCTTGTGTTCCTGGGATAGCTCAGCCTCTCGCCTACTCGCCTAGGAATACCCTTCATATCCCGGGACATTATGCGCATCATTATATTGACACATCTTGCTTGTATCGTTATAATTGGCACGAAAGAAAACTCTTGTAGTTTGTGAAATGTAAATTCAGTATATTATAAATGGTATGTGGCTTTAAAGATTCATGTGCCAAGGCGTGCTTGTATGCTCGAAAGAAACAAGAATATAACGTTTGCATTGCAGATTTCGTCGAGTTGAGATGCGAAGTAATTCTCGATTTGCAATGAGCATTTATAATCATCGACGGCACCTCTTTCCGTCGGAAGCATATGCGGAAGTTTTTCAGCTTATGTTGCGAGAGAGCGCATATACGAATGATACTTACTGCACTATATTTGAGAAAAACGATTAACGATTAACGTTCGGGCCAATCACCAATTTAATCGATGTGTTTTATAAAAACGGCATGTATACATGTTTCCTACAGCAGTCTTCTTATCACTTTTATTCCATATATTGAATTGTATTACTTACTGTTGCGAATATTTCTCTCTGGTTTGCAAGAGACATTATATTATATTATATTCTACAAGTTACAAACTCATATACAAATTTGGTTTTCAAATTTACTTGTATAAAGTTTATACTTACATGGATAGCTTTTTCTCGCGCGCGCGCGCGTGTGCGTGTGTGTGTGTGTGTGTGTGCGCGCGCGCGTGCGCAATGTACTTTTACGCATTGTTTCCCACAGCATTATTCATAAACGAAACGATTTCATCTTCTACTTGATATCATGCATTAATGTAAATTTTTTCATTTTTCATTTGACACATAATAGCTCGTAACAAAATCGCATCCAATTTAGGAATGACCCAGGTTTATTATTCAACTCACTGCATTTGCGAGGAACACGTTATATTCCATTGTATAACTATTGATAATGTCAGGCGCATTAATGAAAAATTTCGCAAGCAATAGCGGAATGCTTCTATGATAAAACGGCAATTTCATAGTCAATGCGAAGAGAATTGTTGGCCATGAAAATTGATAATTATTCTCTAATATAACATTATGGTCTTTTAAGCGGTGGGATACCAACAATGTACCACCGATAATGACGCTATTATATCGGTTAAGCAAGAGACGATAAAAATAAATCATATGTAATCTCATTTCTCTCATACTAAAAATATTTATAAATTGTGTAAATGTAACTATGTATTGTGACCACGAGTAAAATAAACTGCGCGTATGATTTCAACATTTCTGGAGCGTTATACGTTACAAATCCTATTGTTTTGTCATTAATATAAGTAATATATCGCATACCTATAAAAAGTGACCAACTGCATACCATGTAAGTAAATATAGTCGTCGAAGCAGAAATTATTTGCCATGTCTCGACCCATAGTACTTAATACCGTTTTTCGTGGAACATCTGGCATATTTCGTCAGGAGCGCATTGGCATTCATCTTACCACTTGTAAAACGTCTAAAAAAATTAGAATATAAAAATTATATAAGACACAGAAAGTGAAGAATTTATAACTTTTTCACGTACATGATGTAAGGAGTTATTTCTTCAGGAGTCCACTTGGCCTTGATTTGGAACAGTTCGTTCAGTCTGTCGTGAATGTTGTTCGACAAATCCGTTTCCGGGCAAGATACAACTTCCTTCTGTATCTTTGAGGCATTGTACGTTACAAAAGCCAAACCACATAAATATTCTTCTCTCGGCTGCATCTCTAAGGACAAGCAATAAATTTTAGATGCAGTATAAGTAAATCGAAATAAGGGCTCGTTCGAGGTACACTGATCAAATTACATACTTTCGGGAGTTCCATTTTGCCATGTATCCATAAATTCTCTGTACTCGGTAATGGGAGAAGCGGCCAAAAGAATCTTTGCCATCATCGCGCAGCATTTCTTTTCATCATATCTGTAATATCACATATCTAACAAATGTGAATTATTGCGCGGGTCTTTCCTTAACTACTAAGATACTTATACTTTAATAACATACACACTTGTACAATGGACTACCATCAGCTTTCATCCTTGTGCTCGGCCCTGTATATCTTCCAAATATAGCATTAAACACTGGCTCGTGAATAAGTTCCTTCAAACATTCGTGAGTACTCTCTTTATCTACCTCATCGAGCTCCCAAGACTGCTCTCCGAAATAACCTAACATCAAATTTAAACCTCTTGTTTCTATATCGAGCGACACAAGACGCAAGTATCCTAGCAAAAAAGGAAAAAAGAAAAAAAGTATCAAAGCTTCAAGTTGGGCAACATCATTCTTATTAGTGAGATAATTTAATGTAAATATAGACACATATAAACGTATATAGTATACCATCTATATCAGCTATCAAAAAATCCTCTAGAGCTTGCCTTAATTCATAATCACTGGCCTGTAATTCATTCTGTAGTCTCTCCCAAGTGTACAAAGTCTCTTGATCTATGCCAGATTCATATTCCAGTCCATTAAAGGATGAAGGTGCGAGTAGAGTAGATAAATTTGCCAGGTTAGGTTTGGTCTCCTTTACCTGAAACATATAACGCAGTCTTTGTAATGAGTCTTTGCAATTTGTTGTATAATTAAATATTTTATTTAATATCGCACCAAGTGTTACCCCTTACCTCATAATATGAAGAGAATATTTCCCTTATATTTCTTCTCTCTATAGTTCTGTCGGTTATTTCCTTTACACAAGCAGCCTCATTCAGCTTCAAGTTTGGCACCAACAACCACGAATTTGATATTTCAGCTTCTTTGATCTCATAGGTCCGATTTTTTGTACATAATACAGCATCATCATGCTTACTGCCGCGAAATGATACTCTATTATCACAAAATCATTTGTAATCGTCACATAATCATTTTACACTGTAGAATGATAATTTATATTGTTAATGTATAAGCAAGAAATGATGAAAATTTATTTATTATAAAAACTCGAGTAAATTAACAATTACGCTCATAACTGTACAACATACGTGTCCCCTTCGTTCAATGCTTCCCATATATGCTTGTCTACTTCTAATAATATCAAATTGTCAATCTTGTGATCTCCTATAGGATACAGACATTGCGTCAAAGGATTTAATTCAGACTCTCTGATTGTAGCCAAGTCTAAAACCAGGCGAACATCCTCCTTTGTGCGAATATCCCTTGACAAGGGTGCATCGCATTTATATTCATACATAACAGTGTATATGAAATATAATATAATTACAATTAAGTCGTACGTACAAATCGCTTGGAACTACTCCTGGAACAACTGTACAATATGCTTTGTTTACCTTTCATCAATAGATTCCATTGATGGATACTTTGCTGTTTGCGACTTCTTGATATTTATTACTGTTCGATTTCGCTGCCAAAAAAATCTCTTTCATTTGCCGCACGATAATGGAGTGATATTCCGAACTGTTCCGCGAAGAAGTCCTTCGTCGGATCTTTCGTTGAGTTGTACTTCTCAGAAAATAAAAAGCTTACATTATCTTGGGTCTGTTCTTTCTAGTTATACCTCGTCTACAATAGAAGTCGTAGAGTCGTAAGTCGTAGAAATTGACCAATCATAGTCCGGTAGGAGAAAAATAGTCGACCGCGATTGGTCAATTTGTACGACTTACGACTCTATGGCTTCTATTGTAGACGTGGTATTATGGCTGCGTTCCGAAATTCACTGCCAGTACTGAAAATACATAGTTTGTGTCACGTCATACTATAGAATTTCAGTGCTGGCAGTGAATATCGGAACGCAGCCTACAATGGTCTCACGTTCAGCGGAGAAAACTGCTCCGCTGAAATGTTTATGATTGGAGAATTGTTTTAAATTTTTGGCAGGTCCGAACAGACGTACCAATCAGAGACGTTTGCTACGGAACGGAGCGGAGCAGTTTTTTCCCGCTGCACATGACCAATGTTAAGCCAGCGGCACACGGTACTTGTTTTCGTGCTGGTTTGCTCGCTGGACGAAAATACTGCGTTCTGATTGGTACATTTCCGAAGATGGATGGAAATGCACCAATCAGAATGCAGTATTTTCATCCAGAAAGCAATCCAGCAAGCACCGAAAACAAGCACCGTGTGCCGCTGGCCTTAACCGGGCGTTATAATGGCTGCGTTCCGAAATCCACTGCCAGTACTGAAAATACATGGTTTGTGTCACGTATACCATAGATTTCAGTACTGGCAGTGAATTTCGGAACGCAGCCAATATTATCGTACACATGCGAGACAGCGAGAATCCAGATTTGTTTGGTATTTGGTCTGTTCTTTTTAGCTGCACTGCGGAACTGGTGCAATAAGTTAAAGTGAGAAAAAATATAGTTGTCTCATTCTAACTTATTGCACTAGTTCCGCAGTGCAGCTGAAAAGAACAGACTACAATTGTTACCTGATCGTCGATCAAGTGAGAGACATTAAGGTTAAACATATGAATAATAAACTGAAGATCTTTTATTCGCGGATAAAACAGACTCCTTGTATTTCAAAATAAGGTAATTATACAGTTTAGGAGCCTCAATATTATGAAATTTCTGTTCAATCGACGTGTTTTTACACAAAGCGAAAGAATCTGGGATAATTATGCAGTTTGTCGTTAGGTTAGGTTAGGTTAGTTTTAGTTAAGGTAAGTTAGGTTTAGTTAATAAATATATGTACTGCAGTCAGTCCAATTACAATAGTCTCAATTAATTCTAATAGTTCCAGATTTAATGTATAATAGCAAGATTTAATAGATATTCACGTATGTTTCAAACTCGCGCTTTTTTGTACGCACATGTGGCCATGCGCATGCATTTATGAGCGAGGCGTGTGGCCACGGATCATGAGCACGTGGCTGCAGAATATGTTCATGTCATTACGTATCGTCGATGTGACATGCTTTATAACTTAAACAGTCGTCAATTTTAACAATTAATACCTTGCTTCATGAACGAGCTTTTTTCCTTTCAAATTCTTTCATTTTATACGCGTAAATACGCGTCGATTGAATATAAATTTATCGATTTTGGAAGCGAGACCTCTGAACTGTATAATTACTCAAAGTAAGAGATTTTTGTGAAATTTAAAAGTTTTTGAATCTTATGCAATATATATTTTACGTTAAACTTTATACAATATAGTTTTTACATTAAAAACTTTATTATGTATTGCAGTGACAAACTTGAGTAATTTTTCTTTGAGGAATAAGATGGTCTTGACTAAGCAATATCTGAGGTATGTTCCGGCAGGTAATGCGAACATAATTACAAGTTCTCGGTGCAATGTTATTTTCGTAACATTGGAAGATCAGGAAGGAAGATTTGTCGCTAGTGGGGCATGCGAACACGTATTTATTTGGGACTTACGGCTTGGTGAGAAGGTAATTAAAAAAAATAGAAAAAACGGGATGAAAACTTGGTAAATTCCATTTACTATTTTTATTTTATTACTTTTATTAAGTTATACAATAATTACAGGCACAAGTGTTATCCGGTGAAAAAGTGGACGTAACACGTTTAGCTGCATCACCTAACAGAAGACACATTGCGGTTGGTTACGCGGATGGGACAGTGAAAATTTTTGATTTACGCTCTGGTGAAAATATTAGCATATTTGTAGGACATAAGTCTGCAATTACAACATTAGCGTATGATGCTTTAGGACACAAATTAGCCAGTGGTTCCAAGGTAATTTTTTTACCAACAACTATGTCAGTAATAGTATATTTTCTGTAACATATTAATAGTATATTTAATAGTATTATTTAATAATAATAGTATATTTTCTGTAACATTCTCGATTCAATAGGATACAGATATCATTGTCTGGGATGTTGTCGGGGAAATTGGAATATGTAGATTGACTGGGCACAAGGATGTTGTAACCAAATTAGCATTTACGAAGGAACACAATATTCTTATTAGTTCCAGTAAAGACTCGTATGTGAAATTTTGGGATTTAGATACAGAACATAATTTCAAAACTCTCATTGGCCATAGATCAGAAGTAATTTATTCAATCATATTCTTATACTTACTGGCTATATCATTTATATTAGTCAAACTAGTTGATACGAATCTCAACGGTCTTACGCAGGTTTGGAGTTTTGCATTGGTAAAAGATGATAAATACTTAATAACAGGTTGCAACGATACCGAATTGCATGTTTGGAAAATAACTTTTGTCGATAACAAAAATATCGAATTTAATACTGCTGTAGACGATGTAGATGTCAACGACAAAAGTGTAGATACAGACATGGTATGTACTTGTCGCACAAAGTTTGTAGAGTGAACAGTTTTATATAGAGAGATAAAAATAATGTACGTAATATACACATATAGTGTCTTCTTTTAGAAATATCCTATCAGATGTGAAAAGGCAGGAAGCATAATAAGAGCTAAATCCGGCCGAGTCGTCTCGTTAGAAGTTGACCCTACGTGCAGAGTTATCGGATGTCACGGAGTAGGGAATACCATAGAATTGTTTTACTTATTGCCCAATGACGAAGCGAGAGATAAATTCACAAAGAGGTTAAAGAAGGAGAGAGCAAAGTCTCAGAAGTGGGTTAAAGTTTTTGATAAATATCCGTGAAAAAGTTTCACAAGCATTTAAATGTATATCTCTTATCGATAGGGAAGGGAAGGATGCCGAGAAGGATCTACCAACTGCACCGACTATGATGGATGAAATAAGGCGTTTATCTGCCTTTAGAATATCCGATAAAGTCAAGGGAATTGATCTAATTATAGGCAAAGGAAACGAACTCAGAGTTAGTAATAATATAATAAAGATTTAAATTCGCCATACATACAGAAAGCCGAATTAAAGTTTAATTCGATTACTTTTTGCGAGCAGATATGTGTCGGAGCTAATAACAACTCGATCGAATTACACTCTCTGTATGTAGACATGAAGGATGCTAAAGTGAATTCTTTACGTTTATTAACAATGCACGGACATCGCAAGGACGTACGTGCTCTTTGTTTCAGCTCCGATAATTTAGTATTCGCTACTGTTAGTGGAGACTCAATTAAACTGTGGAACAGGTAACAAGCGTTGTCACATAAACACATACATTATTATACAAATTAAATATAAATCAATTTCACTTTTGTTTCGCAATCTCTTTTAGGCCAACGTTAGCGTGTCTACGCACGGTACAGTGTGGTTATGCTTTGACAGTAACATTTGTACCAGGTGATAAACATCTAATTGTTGGTTTGAAAGATGGTAAGATGCTCATCGTCGATATCGCGTCTGGTGATATTTTGGAAGAAATACCAGCACATTCCAAAGAACTCTGGAGCGTGACATTATTTCCCGATTTGGTAATACTTTGCAGTTAAAATATTTCGACAACTACTACTAATTTAAAGCTAATTGACACTTTGTTGCAAACAGAAAGGGGTTGCTAGCGGTGGTGGTGATCATACCGTAAAGTTTTGGAACTTTGAACTTATTCCAGACTCCAACAGTCAAATCAAAGCAAAGGTGCTCTCTGTCGTACACACGAGAACGCTCAGCTTGGAAGAGAGCGTGTTGTGCGTAAGAATAAGCCCGAACAATAAACTTGTTGCTGTTTCTTTACTGGACTGCACCATTAAGATCTTTTTCGTGGACTCTTTTAAGGTACTATGGTCATCCTCTGACATATGACATGACTATATATATATATATATATATATATATATATATTATTTCTAATCTATATATATTACATATATATATATATATATATATATGTAATATGTATAGATTAGAAATAATATATATATATATATATATATTCATTATTTCTAATCTTATCTGCTAATGTTACCAGCATTTGATTTTAAAAATTATCACATTTTCATCATTAGTTCTTCGGATCTCTTTATGGACACAAATTACCAGTATTGTGTATGGATATATCCAGCGACTCTGCCCTTTTAGCAACCGGTTCTGCTGATCGAAATATTAAAATATGGGGTCTAGATTTTGGTGATTGTCACAAGTCCATTTTTGCGCATGACGATTCTGTTACGGGCCTCTCGTTCGTACCTGGTACGCATCATTTCTTCACCTCTGGGAAAGATGGCAAAATCAAGCAATGGGATGCCGACATATTTCAAAAGATTGTCACATTACAGGTAATATATTGTTTCAGATATATGTACAAATCTATACGAATCAGCATATGTACATACTATGTAATGGTACTAACGATGGTTCAGTCACGTTACGTTATAATCAATAACACAATCGATCGTCGTAGGGCCATTTTGGAGAAAGTTGGAATTGCTGCGTTTCATCGAACGGCGTTTACGTCGCATCGTGCGGTTCTGATAGGGTAATAAGGTTGTACGAGAAGACTAACGAACCTTTGGTGTTGCAAGACGAAGAGGAGGAAGAAAGGGCACAGCAGGAAAACGAATTAGTCACTGGGGAAAGCACTATGGTGTTAGGGCAGAAGCAACAGACGTTGCCTTCGAGGAAAACCGTTAGCAGTGAGAAGGCTGTGAGTGAAATCGATAAACTACTGAGATAAAATTAAGAGACTTGTCTCACATTGTATATATTTTTACTAGGCTGAACTGATATTGGAATGTTTGGAAATAAGCAAACAATACGAGGAAGAATCCAGGAAAGTTGCTTCATCCGGAGCAGTGCTATCACTACCTCCATTAATGCAAGGTTACGATTGCACAAACACCGAGGATTTCTTATTGGAGACTTTTAAACGAGTTAGAGCGAGGTAACATGTGAAAATGAAACGCCCGATGACAACATGACAACGTTGTCCTGACTATCTAACGTGACCAAAAATATATTGTGCGTTTCAGCGAATTAGAAGAAACGTTGCTGCTACTGCCATTCTCCGCTGCGTGTGATATTCTGCAAAAGTTACCTCTACTGCTGAAAAGAGATTACCACACTGAACTGTTAGCTAGATTAGCTTTGTGCTTGATACAAGCTCATCACGGTCCCACCGTAGCTAGTGGAAATCTTCTGTCCATAGTGGAGGACGTGAAGACGCTCGCTATAGAAAAGATATCTGCTTTGAGGGTAAAACGAAATTACCAACCTTTTATTCGCACTTTACATACGAACTTTATTCCATGATAATTTATTCGATAAAACAAATTTAATATATCTGTCACAGGATATCGTAGGACTCAATTTACACGGCATGATGTATATGCAACGTGTTCTCGAGGAACGGGAAGGAGTCAAACTCTTCAGGGATGCTACAAAAAATAGTAAGCAGAGAAATAGAGTCAGGAGGAACAAGGAAAAGGCTATAAAGAGAGCAGTCATGAATCTGTAAATCTTATTCATCACGTTAAAAAGTCTTTGTATGTAAATACAAATTGATGTAAATAATAATTTTTGTTGTATCAATGATATAAATAAATGATTTATACAAAGTGTCTAAGTTACGAAAGTTATTTTTTCTTTAGATTTGATTCCGTTCACTGATATCACTGTATCGGTGCTGCAGAAATGAAAATTCGAATTTAGCGACCTCCGTCGTGATACAGTGGCTGCGTTCCAATATTCACTGCCAGCACTGAAAATATACTATAATATACGTGACACAAACTATGTATTTTCAGTACTGGCAGTGAACTTCGGAACACAGCCAATGGAACGTTGCGCAGAGTATGCTATACGACGAAAGACTAGCAAGTGTCGACCTATCTACCTTGGCTGCGTTCTGATATTCACTGCCAGTACTGAAAAATCTATAATATATGTGACATAAAGTATATATATTTTCAATACTGGCAGTGAATATCGGAACGCAGCCCTTACCAGTCAAAAGTTCAGTTCAGTTCAGTTCGGTATATGGCTTTAAGTAGAAGGGTGCACCCATACGCCATTCTCTTACCAGTCAAAAGACGGTAAGGACCAGAGCACAGGCTTTTGCATAACACATAATACACAACGCATAAGAGAATAAGCCAATCAGAGTTCTTCATTTCCCTCCTCAGGACAGAAATGAAGAACTCTGATTGCTTGATTCTCTTATGCGTTGTGCATCATGCGTTATGCAGAAGTCTGTGCTCTGGCCCTAAATATTATTGCGCATTCCGATAAGAGTATCTATGTATGCACATACACATGAGTTGATAGGAAAATAGGTTCACTGTTTCATTAAACAATAAAGTATGTTCAACGGAATCTGCCCAATGTTGCGTATTTCTCGCTGGATCAGATGCGGATCAGATTGACCCACACATTCGTGGTAATATGCGTGTGTAATGTGTTTGTAAATTATCATAATATAACCTCAATATAATATGACAACACGAAGCATGGCCCAGCCACCTTTTGCTCGCGAACGAAGGTAGAGGATGGATCACGAGGACGAATTTCTCAATACTTTCTTTATATTAGTTGCACAGTTGTGCTCCGATAAGGCCAAGGAATCAGTTGTGAGTAATAAATAAAGATCAGGGGATATGTGTGCGTGACTATATACAGAATATATGTGTGTGTGTGTGTGTATATGTATATGTATATAGTAAAGTTGAGGACAGGTTTAACGCAAGTACATATACATGTACAGTTGAGTACAGTTTGCAGAAAATTGGTAATTCTCACGACTCAGGTTGGAATGCGAAATATTAGTATAATTGACCAGGGCCCAGGTTGAAGTGTAAAACTAGAGATACTTGCCAATATATATATATATTTATTTATACACACACACACACACACACACACATTTGTATGCGTTGTTTGAAAACGTGTATGCATACGCGTATATATGTATGTGTGTGTGTGTGTGTGTGTGTGTGTGTGTGTGTGTGTGTATATATATATATATTTGAGTTCAGGAGAAAGAAAGGGAATCATGCAAACAGATGCAAATGGGTCCATGGGGAATGCTTCTGATGCATTTACCGCAGATAGCTGTAGCAGAACGTTCTTATGCAGATTTAGGCTTTCTTCACACGAAAAATAAAGGTTTCCTTAGGAAGGACGTATGTATTTAATTATGGACAGAATCTTTGCAATTGGCAATTATTTAATGGAAGAAACATGGTGACATTAATATTTTTTTCACAGAATTCCTTAAAAACTGTATATGAGTCATTAAAGTCTGATTTAAAGAGACTGGAGGAAGTAACTAGAGGAACAAACTCTATCGGCGCAACAGTTGCAAATGTTTCCAACCAGCTCTGCCAATTCATCATGGCAAGAATCCAGCTGATAGATTTGTCAGTATATCAGAGTTGTGACGTTCTGTCTCTAATCTCACATGAGATTGTTGTGTTGCAGCTATGAGAAAATGTACAATATGAGTGTAAATGGTAAAGTTATGAAGTATCAAGAATTGCTGCAGTATATAGAAGGAATAGTGGAATGGCATTTGTTATCCTGTTCCCACTTGGCATTGGCTGCTATCAAGACAGGTTTAACGTAAGTACATATACAAGTACAGTTGAGTACAGTTTGCAGAAAATTGGTAATTCTCTCGACTCAGGTTGGAATGCGAAATATTAGTACAATTGACCAGGGCCCAGGTTGAAGTGCAAAACTGGAGATTCCTGCCAACTCTGATGGCTCTTTACGGTGCGCAGACACGAATGTCAGCTTGGGAGAGGACCTTGCAAAGCAAGGAGGTTAGCAGCACATACAGAACAGAAGATACAGAGAGATTGGATGTTCTAATTCGAGATTCTTTTTCAGTCCTGGAAATTGGGCTTTGGTGCGACATTTCTCAAAGCAAATCAGCAACCAGCGTTGTACCAGTGGCTGGTGAAACTTCGCAGTGCCATATTAGCTAAGTGTTCTTTGTATTTTCACACAACTCTAAGCCAGCAAGCTAGTCCCGGAGAAATGAGGAGTATCATGAGCAAGCAAAATGGGGATTATTATCACAAGTGAGATACGGATATCGCCTTACCGCTTGCATGGTGCTAGAACAATAGCGATAACAGATTGCTTCTTTCAGAATGCAGACCTTTCAGCGGAAGCACGATGTGTCAGCTATATTAATAATTTTCGACTCCAGAGGGATCGAGGACTCAGGCTCGGGATACAGACATCCGGCACGAGGAGCAGATTCATTCGAAAGTTTTCCTGTCGTCGTTTGTTGTCCCAATGTAAGTGGAAATTTACATATCTTCGTCATTATTATATATACGGCGTGATATTCTCTCAGCGTCTGTTCTTTCTTCTTTTACGTAATTAATATTCTTTCTTCAGACATTCACACAGAAACGATCGGTACACTTGGACAATATACAGAGCAAGATAAAAGAGCGTCAGCTGGAACTTGTTGCTATGGACAAAGTTATTCACTACAAAAGCACAAAGGTACGGCAATGAAAGAAGAAAATTTTTCAACAAATGGATCAGTTAAATCGCATTTTAGTCTAACTTACTAATTATGTCGGTAGGATCAATGTACGTACGCTTTTCACAATACCGATCCTCGAATGACTCTTGTGGTTGTGCTCGAGAACGGAAAGCAGAGAGACAAGGAAACTCATATTACGTCGTTTTTGACGGATCTCTCCATGCATATCAGGTGTAATAAAGTATATGAATGTCTGAAATTGTCAAAGTGAGCGATCGTACGCGCAAGTGTTCGTAAAAAAAGAGAAAAGACGGAGAAAGAGGAAGAGAGAAAAAGCATCGGATAGTACCAAAGACCTGAATATATTACAATTAAAAATCGATTAATAAAAACTTATGGTATAATTATATAAAAGTATAAATGAAGAATGTATGTCGTCGTTTGCGCCAATCATTTCGAAATTTTCGAAACGTTTGCACATCTAAAATAAGGTTGCCAGATGGCCTTGATTTCCAGGATTGTCCCGGAATTTTTTCAAATTTGTCCCATGTTCCGGAATTTGAGTCTTTTGTGTCGGGAAATCAAAATTTCGACAAATTATAGTAATATTCATGTTTTGAATCGGTACCAGAGAGAAATGTGAGAGCAATCATTGGGATTTATGAGGTCGAAAAACTTGACGTGCCACCTGAGAAATCATTCGTGTAGTAAAAAGAAAAAGGTCAATCGTATGGTTGATATCTACTTCTCTCTGTTGGTACCTAATTCGCACATATATTAATTGCGAGTAAGCAACGACATCTCTTAATCTTGTCTTACCCCTCTATCCATCGAATTTAATTAAAATTCTCCAACAACCTATTTTTCAACCTCAAAAATGTCCTGGAAATAGTCATTTTGCATCTGGCAATCCTAAAGTCTAAAGTAATATCTGAAATTGGCGATTGTCGAGACAATTATTATGTACTATTATGTAGAGTAGAGGGGAGAATATGTACAGTAATAAAAAAGTAACAATAGATAATCAAGGTTGCATACATATGATAATGCTAATAATAATAAATTAACTTGTCATTTGTCAATATTGTTACAATTATGAAATTGGCAACTTTTGCTAACAAGTAATCTGCGAATAAATTCAATGGTCTGTGCTACTTTACTTCATTGCATCTTAAAGGTTATTTATTATACGTGAGAGCTGATCCAAAGAAGGCAATACAAGCATACAGTAAATAATCAGTTGATCGAATTTTCTTTGGAAAGTATATTCTGTTGAATGACATGGTAACACGTAAGGGCTCTTCTACAATTGCATGAACGTGAGGAATTGTGGGAATAATGGTATAACAGAGTGAATGTTGTATAACAGAGAAATTTACAATAAAGTAAATTGTGTAACGCCGTCGATGTCAAAATTGGGCGCCATAAATATCGCAGGACAAGGGCAAGAGTACAGGCTTTTGCATAACACATAATACATAACGCATAAGAGAATAAACCAATTGGTTTTCTTCATTTCCCTCCTCAGGATAGAAATGAAGAACTCTGATTGATTGATTCTCTTATGCGTTTTGTATTATGCGTTATGCAGAAGTCTGTGCTCTGGCCCTAAGGGCCCTAAGCTTGGACGTTTTCATTGTTTTCTGGTTGTCAGATGGAGAATCAGTAGGGTGCTTAGAGGCATTTCGATATTCACTGCCAGCACTGAAAATCTATAGTATACGTGACACAAAGCATGTATTTTCAGTACTGGCAGTGAATATCGGAACGCAACCAGAGAAAAAAATTAGGCAGCCTAGAAATTTTCTATCCGACAGCCAATTGGAACGTCCGACGAGTTTGTCGTACGACGCATGATCAGTATCAGGCTGCGTTCCGATATTCACTGCCAGCACTGAAAATCTTTAGTATACATGACACAAACCACGTATTTTCGGCACTGGTACTGGCAGTGAATATCAGAACGCAGCCTCAGTCTAGTGATATACAGATCGACTGATGGTTGAAATTCGGTGGTTGAATAAAAAAATAAAGAAAAGAGCAGAGACAGCTGATCAGAAGCAACAAGCTGATGAGAAGTATCATGTTGTGGATGAGAGGAGCAGGTTAGAATCAGTCACGTTTGTTGTACTAAAAATGTTGATCGAAATTCCGATCGTGTGACAAGTGGATCATTGTGTAAAACATAATCTATACGTATATATTTGTGCCGATAATGGAGTCGGCGAAAGAAGAGGTACAGGCCGATGTTGCGTTGATCGAGGGTCTGTCGGCGGAACAAGGATCGCGATCCGAATCGCCGAAACGAGGCACCACGTTGTCGACGAGCACGAGTAGCTTCGAGGCTCTGGATCCGCACGATCCGAATTTGAGTCGTCTGGCAAACACTATGTTTCAAAAGACAGGAGAGTACTTGCAGGAAGAACTCACGGCTACTCATGCGGATTATAGGCTGCTGGAGCGCCTCAACAAAGAAACGATTGCCAAATATACAGAACTGAAGATCATATCGTCGAACGTGGTGCAATCGTTGGATTCGTTAAACGAAAAGTATCACAAGTTGCAGCCGATCCTCGACAATATCAATCAGATCGACGACAGCGTGAGCAAGTTGGAGCAAGCTGCATACAAGTTGGCAGCTTACTCGAAACGACTGGAGGCAAAGTTTAAGGATCTAGAAAAGGATACGAAGAGCAAATAGAGAAAAAGTCGTATAATTATGAAGATTCTCAAGGCTTGTGTTATGTTTATGCGTAATAAGATACAAAGTATAAGAGATGGCGGACATAATAAAAAGGAAAGAAAATTTGCTGAGTAACACAGCAAGATGTTTATCTTTTATATACTATTCCAGTTAGTCATCGTAGTTACAAATGTTTTCTCCTTCAAGATTTACTGCAAAAATTGTGATTTTATATATGTTCCTTTATACATCATTTTATATATCATGCGATATAAATTTCATTGTTGACTCATTGATTAAAAGAATTATGTTTTAGGAAATAACGGAATCTTTTTCTTTTCTTCGTAGCACGAAGATGCACTATCACAATCCAAACAATAATGTTTCAATAAAATGTAAAAAGTCATCAGATTTTTTAAAATGAATAAATACATGCAAACAAACATATACGTCAAAAGATATACATATGCATATGTACAGGATGTACACGAGTAAGTGATACAACTTTTTACTACACCATTTAAAATCACCAACAGCACTGTAGTTAAATAAGTCGCGTATGAATATTTTTATAATGCATTACCACGTTAAGTATCTGCATCTTTTCGTACTAGGGTCTTAAGCTCAAGCAATCGAAAAGTCAACCATCACAACTTGCCAATAACGACGCGATGCATGCAATATCTATACGCGACTCAATAAACTACAATGCTGTCGGTAACGTTAAATTGTGTAGCAAAAAGTTGTACCACAATTCAATTCAATTCAATAAATGGCTCTGGGCAAAATAGGGTACTGCTCCAACGTCACTCTCACGGTGTAGATAGATTAAATTTTGTAAGGTTATTTTCCAGTAGTATGAAGGTAAAAGAAGAACAGGAACACGCGTACGCAGTTCCCACGATTAAAATATATGCGTAGTTACAGAAACCACATCCAACCGCCACGGAGGCGAACAAAAGACTAAAGTTATACTACTACCAGGGGTACGTTCCAAAATCCAACCTTGGTTACTAAAATTCGTTCCGAAAGTATTTATACACTGAGTGGTTATCCAATGATAGCCGTTCCAAAAGTCGCAGTTGGTCGACCACGAAGGTAACTTTCTTACCTCATAAAATGTAGAGGTTGTTTGGATTACCACTGCTAAAGCGCGGGAAAATACAAAATGAAAGTATTCAACTGTTTATTCTTAATTGTACATTAGCTCCCCTTGGGTAAAATAAAATTTTAAGCAGCGCGGCATCATAGCTAACAATGATGTTATATTTGTAAAAGGACGACATTTTTTAGTGTTCGATTCTCAGCAAGAAATTGAAAGAGGAGAGGATGGTGGAATCTGAGTTACAAATAAAATTAGTAAGTATTTCAGTGATATAGATTAGAACTGAGATAGATTAAATCACTTCTAAGTTTTATATCTTATTTTATTTATATTTATATATTTGTAAGGTGGATTACTGTTTGAACTGCCGCTTTCACCGAAGGTTATGGAATTTTTTGATATTTGTGTAACAGATAAAAGTGAAACATTACCAGAGAAAGCAACTGAAGTTAATGCCTCATGTAATATTATTTTATTTACTTTATAATGTATTTGTTTACATGAAATACGAATATATATACATATATAAATTAATCTTGCAATAATTATTTCATTTGTAGGTTCGAATTTCAATAATAATAACTCTGTTAATCATAATAATATAGATGAATCATCAAATATAAGTGCAGGTATATATTAACGAAAAAATTAACATTAAGTTGTAACGCAAGTCAATTTTTTCACTTATTTATATATTTATTTTACTTTTCAGCTGTTTGGGACGATAAAAGCGTGAAACTGTTATTTAATTTGTATGAAGATTATCAAGATGAGTTTCAAAGCACTGTAATAAAAAATCGTGTCAAGTGTGGGACAAAATTAAAGTATAAATGAATATTAGTGGAAATTGTAATGTTACCAGAACACAAATTAAAGATAAGTGGGCAATTATGAGGAAAGCCTACGTGAGAATAAAAGATCATAATAAAAGGACAGGAGTTATACCTAAAACATGCCGATATTATAATGAAATGGATTGCTTATACGGAGACTAACCAAATGTAAATCCGGTTAAAGTTGTGTCAAATATGAGATTTGAGGCTGAGGATGAAAATACATCATTTGCAGAAAACAGTGCAGCAGATAATAATGAACCAAAAAAACGAAAGAAGACTAAGATTGAACGACATTTATCTTCCTGGACAGAAAACTTTATCGAGTATAGTAAAGAACGAGACAACCGTCAGGAATAGCGTAATGCAGAAAAAATAGTTGCAATAAAAAACACAACAAAAACTTTTCGCGAGGTAAGGGAAAAATTAATAGAAAAACTATAATTTGCTAAAAATGTTTTTCTAAGAGACTGTTTTCAATATTTCATTTTATTGCATATGTTAAAAATATTAAGATTTGTTTACGCATTATTATCAGTATTATTAGTATCGTTATATATCGTTACTATTATTGGGAATTTTGTGATAAAAATAATTCTTAGTATGTGCCAAAGAATTGTTTTTAAGAAGATAATTAACGTTCAATTTACAAAAGTTTGGTTAATGTTATTTTTGTGTTCATATTAAGGCTTCCGTTTTCTCACATTATCTTTCCTCTTAATGATATCAAAAGCAAGAAAATGATGCTAAAAATTCTTGCAAAATATATTGAAATAGAAAAATATATCCATGAGATAACATCTATAATTGATCGAGCAATTTTATTAAATAGTCCAAACACTTCCCTTTTACTCTAACAACGAATAATTGGTTGCAAATTAACGTGACATATAATTAATCTTTTTAATCTATTTCGCATAATCTAATCGCATAATAGTGTTACATTAATGTACATTAAATTATTTATTATTAGAAGAAAGAAATGTTCAGAATATATTACAAATTTGTTCCATGGATTGCAAGTGTCACTTTATACATATATCTTTTTATTTCAACATGTTTTGCAAAAATTTTTAACATGCGTTTTTTCACTTCTGACATAATTAAAAAGAGATAAATGATGCGAGGAATCAATCCTTAATGTAAGAAGAATTTATTCTTCACGTTGATATTAGGCTTTTGATGCTCAAGTTTGTCTTACATTTCTGGACTGATACACATAATAGAAGCATAATATTTATGGAATATTTTTTGTTTTGAGTTGTTCGAATTTTATTTCGAGTTTAAACTTTAACATGACATATTTTTAGTTATATAACGATATATATTTCAACAAACTAAAGTTTAATTTAAGTTTATTTTGGTTCTTATTCGTAACTCATATTCTTATTCTCAAGTATCGTTCGAAAATGTTTATTTATTTCGTTCATAAATATTTAAATAAATATATATATATATATATATATATAAGTATTGTTACAGTTGTAATAAACACAGTTTATACAGTTAATTAACATAATTTTTCAATCTACTAAATGTAACATTTGAGCTATATAATCCCTTTTATTAATACCTTCTGCGTCTCCTGCATGTTCTTCATTATTATCATCCACTTCATTATGTATTGGTTCACCATCTAAGATATACTCATCTATATCTTCATCTAAATCATTAATACATAAATTGTGCAGAACACAACACGCCAAAATAGTTTCGGGAATCAAATCTACTTGACTCATATGTAAGTATTTCAGACGTCGAAATCTCCCCTTTAATAGTGAAAAAGCTCGTTCGATAACCTGTCTACCTTTTATAAGACACTAGTTGAATCTTTGTTGTGCCTAAAAACGAAAGAAAAGTATGATTAATAAAATGACGAATTTAAGATTTTTAATATTATATTTTTATCTCTTTACCCTTGTAAGATGACCATTATCTTTATATGGAGGCAAACACCATCCTAAAATAGGGTAAGCTTTGTCGCCAATGATATATTCTTCATGTGGGAAGAAATTGTTCCTGTTCCTATTGACAGCGTGCCACAAGTCGCTATTCCTAAATACTCTCAAATCGCCAACCGATCCGGGATATCCAGCGAAACAATCAATGAATCGTAAGTCAACATCACATATTGCTTGTAAAACAATCGCATATCTGCATTTACGTGTATTGTAAAACTCTGAATCAACCTAGGAATTAAAATTAACTTTTTCAATTACTGAACATACTAAGCCAATAACTTATGTAAAGAATCGACATACTTCTGGAGCAGGTATTTCAATATGTGTACCATCTATGGCTTCAACATTAGTCAATTTGGAAACTTTCTGAAATTTGGCTTCTGTACTTAATAAATGATCCTCTCTTGGCCAGGATATAACTTGTGGTGCGATTAAATTTAGAGCTTTTACCACTCTCCTGACACAATGGTTGAGTGATGACTTTGCTAAATCAAATTTTATTCCTACAGATCTGAAACAATACAAGAATAATGAAAGATTTATACAGATATAAAATATTAGAAAATGAAGTAAAATGTGATAGTAAAATTTATCAACAGTACTTACCTGTAGGAATCAGGTGTAGCCAATAACCATAAAGTAGATAGCAATTGCTTTCGCACGGGTAATGTTAAGCGACCTGTTGCTACTTGTCTTGACAGTAAATTTCCTAATCTATTTTTCCAAATTGTCGTGAACTGTTGCACTTATTCTAAAGTGTTCTTTAAATTGTTTTCCGGAAAACCTTGGTATGATATGTTCAACGTAACCTTCAATACGGACTGCTTTCCTCAGGCTGCCACGTATTGCTACATCTTTTTCTATATTTATTAGGCGTTGCATTAATTCTTCGTCATTTTCATTATCACTGTTATAAATTATTTCGATAATACTATTTAAGAAACATCTACTTGCAGCAAATGCACTGAATGTTATTATGCGTCTTCTATTTACTTCTGCTGCCATAATTGCATATGATCTACTCTTTTTATAGCTGTATCAGTTCAGTAGTGTAGCTAACAGCCTACTCGTTCCAAAACAACTTCTACGGTAGAAGTATCTCAAGTAACCTATACTCCTACTTTAACCTCCGAAGTTAACCAAGGTTGATTTTGGAACGTACCCCAGAGAGAAGCCTGAGAGCGGGCATGGCTGCATTTACAGCGTTATGGAAAAGTTGGCTGATTCGCAGCGCCAACTGGGTCCA